AATGTGGAGTTGAGAAAGATCTACGTTTTTCCTCTTCAGGTTGACTGTCAGGTCCTCTCGGCACGAGAGTGCTCACACTTCTAATGATTAACAGGCTGGGGTGTGGGAAGCCGTGCTGCATGGCAGGATGAGACTTGTGTTCCTTTACACCCTCATCTATAATGTCAGGATAAATAGTTTCTCTGATGAGTAACTAGTTTCTGAGATAAGCTATCTTATTACAACAGATAGCCTGTGCTTATAGGGGGTGCTGTTGCTAGCCACCAGCGAGACGTTTCTCTCTGCAATGGGACTGATAGCTAAGCTGTCCTCCTCCTGGCCTCCCCAAATGCCACCCTAAACATTACAGCATTACTGCTAGCAGAATTTCTGCATAAAACATAAGCTAGTTTTTCCTTCTGGCTCTTGGTAGGCATCTCTTTAAAGCTCATAAGAAAAAAAATTATATATCTATATATATATAACACAAATTACATATATATACACACATATGTATGTATAGATACATATGCCCCCATGTATATATATTATAAATTGCCAGCACTTGTTATCCAGCTCCTTTTAATTACTGTGCTCATGAAGGCGATGTCATCCAGAGCAGCGTGAAGCTACACTCTCACCAATTTCAAGATGTCATAAAATATCACAGACTCAGTGATGGAATACTGGTGTCGAACCATCAGAGGGCATTCAAACAAAGGCTTAATTGCTCAGGAGGGCTTTTGAAATCATAGTCAGTCCAGAAGCCCTTACCAAGGGCCAGCTTCTCGTGCAGACCACCAGGACATGTGTGAGAAGGGGCAGCCATGCGTGGCTGGTCACTGTGTGCAAAGACAGTCATTTCTTTTACAAGGGCCGAAGGAGCCACAGGGAGAAAGCAAACAACCACAGAGGAGGAAGCGATTCGGGCATTGGTTCCTTCATTTAAAAGGCATCCTGAGCCTCTTAGAGGAGGACAGACGGATGAACAATTAGGATTTATTGTGAAACAGACAAGGTACAGGAGATTGGAAAATCAAAACGACACTCAATGTAGAAGTGGACACCTGTTCCATTTCCAAAGCTGGGGGTCGGGTAGTGGGGATGGGACAGAACTGAGCAGGTCTGAATGTGGGCCCTCAACTCTGAAGGACTGGGAGAGGTCAGAGTTCTGTGCTGCAGTGTCATGGTGCAGTCACCATGGCAAGCTCTGACAGCAGCCGTGTCTCATAGGTTACGTGTGGAAAATGGGTATCAGTTGAAAACTAAGGGAGGGGTGGGGGACCCAGGAAACATGCTTCCTAATGCCCACTCACCTTCCTCATTTCCATGACAGTCCCCTTTACTCTTTCATTATACAAAGGACTTAAAAATCATTTTTAATTATGTGTGTATATGTCTGTGTGTAGGCATGTATACACGCATGCAGATACCCAAAGATGTCAGAGGAGTTAGATCTCTCACAACTGGAGTATCAGGCAGTTGTAAACCACCTTACATGGTTTCTATAAACCCTGGAAAAGTAGTGCAGGATCTCACTATGTAGTTTTGTCTGACCTGGGATTTATACCAGGCTGGGCTTAAACTCACAGATCCATCTGCCTCTGCCTCCCAAGTGCTAGGGTTAAAGGCGTGCTCTGTCACAATCAATTTTCGTGCTGTCTAACTAGACTCCTAAGCCAGAATCCCTCTTCCTTACCAGTATGTGGACTTTGGAAGTCTGCCTGGCCCCACCTCCTGGAAGTTCTGTACAATGTTCTCCTGGGTGGTCATTGTTGGAAAGATGATCTCAAAGTACAATTTTTGGGCTTCCCTGAAAAGAGAGCTAAATAAATAACTAGAGAAAGATTCATATCACATTTAAAAAACTGAATGGAGCCAAATTACCACTGTAGACTGATAAATCTGAAATGAGATGCTGATAGCATATGGGGATGCAATAAAACCCTGAGGAGTAGTTTGCACTTTGCTCTGAAATCACCCTTAGCATATGAGAGAGAGAGAGGAGAGAGAGGAGAGAGAGAGAGAGAGAGAGGGGGGGGGGGGGGAGAGCGCTCAGGGTGCAGTGACATGCCTGTTGCTAGGTTGTGGGCCAGCGGCTCACCGGCAGCCAACCCTGGGCAGAGGATAAAGTACCTAGCTACTGGGCAGTCCTGCCCCCAACCCCCCAGCAGCAGCACATAGCACTCTGGAGACTTGCCTCTAAAGAAGGAAGTGGACTCCCACTTTCACCTGTCCTGCTGGGTATTGGGCCAAGCAAGTGATTTCCACAGTGACAGGGACTGCTTACCTTGTTTATCCTTTTTATCCCAGAGCCCCACACTTAGTCCCACTAAATCATTAACTCAAAAATAGCCACTTGGGCTTGCGTAGTGGCAAAGCATTTGCTTAGGGTCCTGGGTTCAAATCCCATTCCTGAAAACACAGATGGAATTCTGAGTGGCATCCTTTTTTCATGATGGAAGACTTTTGCCTGTCACCTAGCTCAGTGTTGGCTTCAGTCTATGTAATTGGGGTCTGGAAGCTAGGGGTACTCGGCACTGAAGGCAGAATCCAGGGTCAGTCTAGAGGGGCTTTGATTTAGAAACTTTTCATACCTCTTGGTCTAATGGGGAGACAACCTAGATTTGGGGAGGGAGAAAGAACATTATCTCAGAGATCTCATTGTACCATTTGAAAATTGAGCAGAATGGTACCAACCAGCCTGCTAACTTCAAGAGCGTGTTCTGTGTGTCAAAAGTTAGTACATAAAACTCTTTGTGCTGAGTAGTTACCAGGTCAACTTGAGAGGAGGGATCCTCAACTGAGAAATGCCTTCATGCCTTCGGCAAGCCAATTGCCTCTAGAATCCAGGGCAGTTTTTTAGTTGATGGGGGAGGGCCCATTGCTTTGTGAGTGGTGCCAGCCCAGGCCTGTGGTCCTGCAGTGCTGTAAGAAAGCATGCTGGGTGAACCACGGGGAAGGAGCCTATCAGCAGCACCTTCCATGGCATCTGCATCAGCTCCAGGTTCCTGCCCTGATTGAATTCCTGCTTTGGACTGTTGTGGAAATGTAAATGAATATAACCCTCTCCTCCCTCAGTTGCTTTTTGTCATTGTGTTTTCCTGTTTTAATTGCGATAGCCTTTCTCATCAATGACACAAGATAACTAGACACCGTTAAAGCATTCCCCGGCATAGCCTTGCTTCAGTATGTGTGTGGCATGAGTGACGATCTTGCATTTAGACACATCAGGGTTTGGGTTGGAAAAATTACAAAAGAGGGAATGGAGTGTCAGGAACAGTTGTGATGCCAGATTGATTCTCTGCACATTTAGATCATAGATGTGTAGACGGTATGTGAGACAATGTCATCGAATAATACAATTCCCTAGAGGGTGAGATGGGATGTGTAAGAAATGCCTATTGTGACTCCATTTTCATCTTCACAGCAATCCTTAAATAAAAGGAAACTGACATTTAGAGGATTTGTGGGAAATTTGTTTAAGTCATAAAAAAACTTTTAGTACAGGACATTAGTTTTTATTCCAAGACAGGCACTCCTGTAACCCTCCTGTGTGCTGTGTAGATGAGTCTGGCCCAAATGTTCCAGGTACTGTAATCACAGGCGAGAATCTCCTTGATCTTTGTCTTGAGAGTCTTTCATCACTAACAACTATGGCAGCACAATGGACCCAGCCCTGTTAGCAGAGGTGTGGGTGAGCAAGGGAGAGAAGTCCCCACTCTTCATATGTCTTATGGTGGCCTGGGCAGGAGAGTGGAAAACACGCAGGCATGCGCGCGGCAGGTCAGAGAGCTGAGCCCTACCAACCGCAGCACTCAGGAGAACAGGCCCTGCACCTAGCCAGGGTAGCACAATAGAGCCAACACTGTTAGCGCAGGTATGGGTAGGCCAGCCCTGAAATTGTGTGACTATGAGAGAGCTCTTCCTATTTCCCATCTGTCAGACCAACCCTACAACTACCCCGGCCCAGATCTAGGGTGATCATTTGGCCCGCCCCATCATCCATCCATACCATCTGTGATGTGATCTGTTTGAGCACATGAAGGGATATGATCTGCAGACTCAAAGCTGCAGGATCTCCACAACACAGGGTGACAGCAGGATGTCCAGAGTCCTAGTGTGGGCCCAGCCCTGATCATGTAGTGAGGACTAGGGGCCTCAAACCAGACCGGTGACTCTTTGTGATGAACCCTTGCAAGTAGAGACGGGTGAACGATGGGGTGGAGGGCGTGACTTGTTGGTAACGTGTCACACTGTAGCTTCCATAACAAGATTTTTAATTCTCTCCCTTTTTATTCTTCATCATATTTTCTTCCTTTTTCTCTTGAATTTTGTTTCATGGGGGCAGGGCATGGCGATGTGGAGGGTGAATTCGAATGAACAGGGAATCAATGGGATCAAGATACAAGATGTGAAAGATACATAAAATAAATTTTTTAATTAAATTGAAAAAACATAGGATTGTAGTCAACACGCATGATCAATATGGTCACAGTTCCTCTACCTCCAGAAATCCCTCGGGCTGCCCTGTTGGTTTTCTTTCTGTTTGGCAGCAGCCTACAATTTGTAACCTTCGCGTATGTGAGAATGGACTATTGGGGTCATTCTTTCAGGTTCTGTCTGTTTTGGGTTTTTACGAGACAGGGTTTCTCTGTATTGTTTTGGAGGCTGTCGGTCCAGCCCGGCCTCGAACTCACAGAGATCCGCCTGCCTCTGCCTCCCGAGTGTTGGAATTAAAGGCGTGTGCCACCACCGTCCGGCTCTTTCAGGATCTGTTAAGGACCATCCAGGCACCTGTAAACTCCACAACTAAATTCCAGTAGCTCCTGGAATGCTAGCTAGAACAATCGAATGGAGTGCCTTTTCCTGGCAGCCCATTGGTTACATATACTTAGTTTACACTCTGAAGTATTTGTCTAAATAGAAATAGTGTTTTCCAAGAACAGTAATGCAGATGCTGTGAGGGTCATTGACGGGGACTTCCTGGCTTTATTGGTTTTCTTGTTTTCCACTTGCAGGTTGATGACCAAATGAAGCTGCTTCAGAACTGCTGGAGTGAGCTCTTGATCCTCGATCATGTTTACCGGCAAGTGGTATATGGGAAGGAAGGGTCACTCTTACTGATCACTGGGCAACAAGTGAGTATTCCAGGCAGAGCAGAACAGAACAGAACAAAAACAAAAAGCTTGTTTTAAGCACATTGGAGTCGCAGGAACTTAACTAGGTCAGAAGCACTCTCATACTTTGACAGGGAGAGATCAGCTGCAAATGATTGAGAAATGATGACTCCTGGTACTCAGTCCCTGCTGTGATAGAATGTAGGAAGAGAAACAGAACCAACAGCTTTCTGCTGCCAGCCTGCAGGACGGGGAGGCCAGTACAGGGTCAGAGCTACAGCTAAATCAAACTCAGAATTTCAGTTTCTGCATGAGCATACCACATCTGCATGTTAACTAGCCAGTTTAATTCTTTTATAAACCAGAGAGTCCTTATTGTTTCGATAATGGTGATGAGCGATGATGACCGTGATGATTATGACGGTGATGACTGTGCTAAAGATAAAACTCAGAGTCTCTTGCATGTTAGGCAAGTGCTCACCACTATTGAGCTATCCACCCAGTCCCGGAAATCTTTGCTGTTTTGGAATGATGTCAGTGGAAGCGTCTGATTTAAATGTCATATGGAGTCAAAACCGCTGGCATAGGGACAAGTTCCAATTTTCAAGACAGAAAAATTGCTGTGAAGTCAGGCTTGTTTCTGGATTGATATTTGGTGAATCTGTAAATTCACTCCCTGGGTGCCATGCTGTGTTCTGGTCACTATTCTTAGGCACTGGTGTAGATTATGGAATAATGAAACAGAAGATAACTTCCTGTCATTTTGGAACTTAATGTTGTACCATGGGGTTGACAATAATAATCTAATACACAAGCCTGTAGTATACTGGAGCAAAGAAATATTAAGAAATAGGATCCAGCAGGAAAAGAAGTGAGCACATATTCATGGATAGGTTTTCAATTGGACCTAAGAATTACAGAATTAACTGAATAGTTGTTTGCCCTTATTGAGAAAGTGACATTTTAGCAACACAAGAGGGAGCAGAGACTGCTGTGTAGACATCTGAGACAAGGAAGGATTAATTCCAACTTCTTGGGATTTGGGTAAATTGTTCTGGTTTTGTTCTTTCTTCCCTACAAATGATGGATTGATTGGTAATATAAACTTCTGGTACACTGTGAGCTCTGTAGTCCATTTGGTCACAGCTATTCAGGGCAGTGTTTAGCCAGGGTGGCTCCAGCATGAAGGCACTGTGATCTTTTACATTTAGTCATAAATGTTTATGTGCTGTGAAACCACAGCCGTGCATATTTGAAAATGGAAGGCTGTCTTCACACCATTGGCCATATTATTAATAAATCACATTTCCCAATCAAATTAAAAGCAAGCACCATTTCAGAGCTTTCGCCGCCTGGATCAATTCACTATCTAGTCCTTGCTCTCAGCAACTCTGGGAGGAAAAGCTTTCAAGATAGGAAAGTCTGTTTGACTTCCTGGTCTTCCAGATTTTGTTAGGTGTTTTCATTCTGTGACCCAAGTCTTTGAACAGAATCTACCCATTTTTTGAGTCCAATCACGGTATATCTATGACCACCCCCCCGACAAATTAGAGGCTGTATTAGAAGTAAAAGACACAGCCGGTCGTTGGTGGCGCATGCCTTTAATCCCAGCACTCGGGAGGCAGAGGCAGGCGGATCTCTGTGAGTTCGAGGCCAGCCTGGTCTACAAGAGCTAGTTCCAGGACAGCCTCCAAAAAAGCCTCGGAGAAACCCTGCCTCGAAAATCAAGAAAAAAAAAAAAAAAAAAAGTAAAAGACACAGCTCATGAATTAATTCATTCATTAGTAATCTCCTACCTCATTTCTTAAATAAAATTGTGCCAGTTCATCCCAGTTTCTTAGAAAGATTTGAGTACTTAGAGTAACAGTAAGTACTGTTTGAAAAGTAGAGAGAGTACACCTCTTGTCTCTTAATTTTGAAACCAGCCGCAGGCACAGAGTAAACAGTGTTATTTATCCTTGCAGCCAGTAAAGTACCACTGCCGACAGTACTGGGAATGGAAGGAGGGAATCTCCTAGCCTTTTTCCTTGTACCTTTGCTGCAGTACAGATGCCCCGCCTTCCCCAATGTCAACACCCTGATGATGGCTCTTGTAACTAAGCATTCTCATTTATGGTAACTATGGGAGAAGGCTTTTACCATCTATTATGGAGCAAGCAGAAGCATATGCCCAGGCTCCTGTGATTACAGAGAAGGCAAGCAAAGAAAGAGCCTCACAGGGAAGACTTGTGGAGCCCACGAGCTTTCCAATAGCAGGGGGCAGAAGGTGAGACAGACACCAGAGAGAGGGAGTGTTGGTTCTGAGACTCTAGGAGAGAGGGAGAGAGAGAGAGAGGGAGGGAGGGAGGGAGAGAGAGAAGGGGGTGTCTGTCTGTCCATACACTGGGAGAATATCATATTGAGCCTCACACATGCTTTGCCCTTAAGCCCCTCTACCCTCACTGGTTTGAAAAGGATACTTGAAGTCAAGTTGCTAGGCATCTGCTTTTAGCAGCTGCTATAGCATTAAATACATTAGCCAAGTGATAAATAGTAGATCACTGCTAAATTGTATCTCCAGCCTAAAACCTGATTTAAAAAGTAAGTTAGCCATGACCCAGATGTCCATTCCCAGGCTGGATACCACTCTCTCCACCATTCAGGTATGGGCTAGCAGCAATGTCTAGTCACAAATCCCCTTGTTAGACTACGTTCTAACCAGTAGCTCAGGAGGATAAGAGAAATGCTAAGTACTTTTTCTTAGGATGATGAATACTCTCCAGATATCAAAAGCAGGAGACTATAACTACATCAATTATTTTAATGTAGCCTGTATGCCAATATTGAGACAGTTGATGCAATGATGAAAAGAGGAGAGATATATTGAACCTAAGAGCCAAGCAATATTCTAGAGAAAACAAATATATTAAAGTACATGGGGGAAAAAAGAGCTCCCTTCTTCCTTATTATATCTACAGCCTAGAAAAGATAGGGACAGCATGTGTTTTTCTATGAGGAAAGATGGTTTTTTGAGACAGAGTTGACTATGTAGCCCAGATTGACCTTAAATTCATGGTTCCCCCATCCCCATTTCAGTCTCCTTACTGTCAGATTACAAACATGTACCATGATTTGGAAATAGTAAGAGTACATTTGTATATATGTGTCTGTGTATCTATGAGTATTTATGCATATGTAAATATGTGTGTATTTGTATCTCTGTATGTCAGGACAGCCTGTGTACCTTTTTAAGAATTTACTAGGAACACCATCTTGAGAAAGTCATCCTACCTTTCAAGTGTCAGTTTTGGTGGGAACCATTATGGTATCTGTGTGAGAAGACTGCAGTAGAAATGACAGGAAATAGTTGTATAAGTTTTGGAGACAAGGTTGACATGGCGACACAGTGACCTATTCCCAAGACTTGTTTAGCTTGTCACACCAAGATGGAAGTCTGGTTCCATGATGCATTGTGTCAAGGTCATGCTGATATCCTAGGGAAGAAATTCAGCCACATTGTACCAATAAAGCATGCAAAACAAGGCTTAATGGCTGGCACTCACCTATAGGTGAGGAAGAGATGCTTTTTCATTTGGGTAAAAGGTATTCCTGGAGGAGGAGTAAATGGAAAGCCATCAAAGCTGCCAGAGAACTATTAGACACCACCCTGCAGTGAGCTGCGATAAGAGAGGCCCTTCCTCCATTTGCTTGATAATGGCAGCAACTGATGTGATCTGCACTGGGCAGTGCTACAGGCAAGCACAGCAGCACAGTAAGGTGCCCGTGCCCACCCCCCCCCACCCCCCATGTAGGAACTGCAGAAGAGAAAGAGTGGTCAGGACACAGAAGCTGAAACAAGCCCTCACCTCCCCAAGCTGCTTTGGGTCATGGTATTTTTTTTTTAACTTATCCACATTAGTGTTTTGTCTGCATGAGGGTGTCTGGTCCCCTGGAACTAGAGGTACAGACAGTTGAGAGCTGTTATATGGGTGCTTGGAAGTCAACCCAGGTCCTCTGGAAGAGCAGCCAGTGCTCTTAACCACTGAGTCATTTCTCCAGCCTCTGGTCATAATGGTATTTTATCACAGTAACAGAAACCCTAACTAAGACAAATACCAAAAAAAAAAACAAACACAAAATCTTGACACAAAAAAGCCTAGACAGTAATTTCCTATTCCCTTGAAACACAAGCACGGTGGCCATACATACCTCTATGGCAGCCCTCTGGTCAACCAAAGGATGCAAGACCCAGTGTTCTTACTTTCCTCTACTTTCATGGAGTGCTGTTGGAGCAGAGGAGGAAGAAAAGACTACATAGAATTTTAAAAACGAGGCGTACTTTGAGGGATGCAGCTTGGTGGGCAATGTTTGCCTAAAAATGTGTGAGGCCCTGAGCTTATTACCTAGAACATCAAAGAAAGAAAAAGAAAAAAGGCAGGAAGGAGGGAGGCAGAAAGTGGCAAAAAGTAAAGTCATCTTTGGAGCTGAGGCCTCCCGTGACCAGGCTGCTAGTGCTAGCTCTGTGTTCCACATGTAGGTGTTAAACTCCAAAGAGTTTGGCATCACATTTTAAACTTACATTTTACGTTCTCTCGCTCTCGCTCTCGCTCTCGCTCTCTCGCTCTCGCTCTCTCGCTCTCGTGTGTGTAATTTAAATACAGGGTCTCGCACCACGTAGCCTGGCAGATTTAGTATTTGTTATGTAGACCATGCTGCTCTGGAATTTGCAGAGATCTACCTGCCTCTGCCTCCTGAGTGCTTAGCTACTTGTGTGCTTTTTTATCCAGCATAAACTTAACTTTGATATAAGTTAAGACTGAATAACTCTGAGGCAAAAACGAAAGAGTAGTTATCACTAATATTTGATGTTGTCAAACTTTAGCTAGTATCTTACTTTTATGGCAGTTCTTTTTTTAGCCAGTATTTTAAAGCCACACACACACATGCACGTACACCTGTTTACGTATCAAATAACTGTAGAATAGAATACTCTGACACGAGGTCAGATTTTAGTATTTGCATATTGTACCTAATAAACAGCTACTGTAACATCATCCTAAGGGAAAAGTCTACTGTCAGCTTAATGCCTTCTGTTATTGTGACCATATTAAAATGACAAGAATCTTAAAGTGTCCAAGTCATCAAAATTTTGGACATTAGAACTAAAAGCAATTTAGCTTAAATTATTTCTGCATCTTCAGGATGAGTGAAATTTATCCAGAGGGGACACGGTCTTAGAACATTGTTCACTGTCCCCCTTGAATTTAATGACATAAAGATTACATGTAAGAGAGCAATCAATTAATTTTACTAAGTACATAAAAGACAAGGCCAGCTGCTCCTGATATGAGCACAAACTCTGCATCCAACAATGAAAGTATAATTACGTTTGCAATAAAATGTAAGGAAGTTGCGGGTCTGTGATTTATCAGAAGGGAACCATTGTTCTCCTTGTGAGCTGTGCAATTTGATAAATCATCCTTGGAAGAAATGTTGTCGGAGCCCCCATTTAATAAGCATGTTTGAGCTTTCAAATTAGCATGTAAATAAATGTATGGCCATAAAGGTTGAGATGCCAATTGATTTCTCAAGGTATATCTTACTAAAGGTCTCTCACTGTATAGATAATCTTGGGAACCCACTGGGATTCCTTTAACGTGGAGTGGGGAGTTTATGTCTTTGAGTATGAAATTCTGCTATTCAGACTTACTGTCATAGGCGTGTTGAAAGTTGATACACACCTAATTTAAGTCACCTCATCTTAATAAATAATTAAGATTTATTTTAGTACGGCCTTCCGGATCAGGGATTAGCCACCGATGACTTCTACTCCTGTCTACTTATGTGTATTAAGCAGTGCCCACGGTGTATTTAGTTGGCGGCAATCATCAACCAGTATCGTCCTCACTGGAATTCTCTTTATAGCCACAGAAGTGATTGGTGCCTTTTCTAGCTCAACTGCCTTATTTAATGCTGATGACTGTCTGGTTTGTAAGGGTCATCATTTCATCCATGTCCTCTGTCTTTGTCTAGTTTCTCCCATCATTGTCCTCTCGTTGGGTCTTGTCATTCTCCCGCCTCGCCCGTTTGCCCTGTAGAATATCTCTGACATGCTGAATGTCTCTTGTCTGGAAATGCTTGGGACTAGAGTGCTTCAGATTTTAAGTGCCAGAGATAGAACAAGATCTCTAAGGGATAGACCCAGACCTAAATCTGCAATTCATTGGTTTCATATACACCTTAGACATAGTCCAGAGATGAGCAAAATCATCTCAACACTTTTTGGTGAGCCAAGTAACACAGACCCTGTTCCTTGGAGTTGTCCTATTTGTGCTCAGAAAGTTTTAGATCTTAGAGTATTTCATGTGTCTGGGTTTTGTTTCTGGTTTGTTTTTTGAGCCAGGGTCTCAATAAGTAGCCAAGGCTGGCCCTCAAATGAATGCTGAGTTTTAAGGATATGAGTGACCAGACTTGAATACTCACCAGGGTTTTGTATTTAGGATCTCCAGCCTGTGTTATACCAGTAGCAAACTTAATGGTATTTACCTTTATTTGACTGTTGAGATTTGTCTCATTAAGTAGGCCTGGATGGCCTAGAACTCACAGTGTAGTTCAGGCTGGCCCCAAGCATGTGGCAGTCTTCCTGTCTCTGCCTCCCCAAACATTTCAGGTTAGTTTTTGTCACTGTGACACAAGCTAGACTCACCTCTCAGACTGGTCTGTGGCCAAGTCTCCGGGGTATTTTCTTGATTAATGATTGATGAGCAAGAGCCTAGCTCATTGTGGGCAGTGCCACCCCTGATCAGGTGGTCCTGGCTTGTATTAGCAAACTGAGTCCGTTGCAGTGTCCCTCCAAGGTCACTTTCAGTTCCTGCCATGGCTTCCTTCCCTGATGGACTGTGACCTGTAAGCCCAATAAACCCTTTCCTGGGGTGTGAGGGCCACAAGTGTCTGTGCTGTCCCATCTACCCTTTGATGTAGAAAGTTTCCCTTTAAGGCAAGTGGTGAAACGCTTGTCACTCTCAAGCCTGAAGTGTCCCTGTTACGTTCTTGCACTGTTCCTGTTCATCTCCTGTTCTAGAGTTCAAGCTGCCAGCTGACTGGCCCTTCCTTCCACACATTCTTGAAACAGAACCTGAAGGAGCTCATGGAATGTTTGACATTTGAATTGCACGGGTAGATAGATGCCAGCCCAGGGGTGCATGCGGAGCAGTTGGATGGCATAGGGCTTGAAGCAGGAGCTTCCTTCCCTGGACTATACGTCAGTGGTGGCTTTTTTCACAGGCAGTTAGTTGACTCTCTTGTAAGCTGATTGACACCTTTGGGGAGGGGGTCATCTTTCCACCGACTCATAATTTCCCTACTCTTGAAAAATATTTCCTTACCCCCAGTATTCTCTAGTTAAAGCTGAAAATTCAACTCATCATATTTACACAATAAAAAAATCCATTCTGCCTTGTTTTTAATTGCAAATTCTACTCAAGGGACTAGTTCTCATGCGTAGGAGGCAGCCCTGTGCCTTCTCCTAGCGAAGCAAGTGCAGTCAATTATGGTAATGAAATGTCAATAAATATAAAAATTTAATACAGTCTGCTCTGGGTGAGTGGCAGATGAGGACTTGCCTCCCAGACAAATTTGCTGCTCCTGCAAAAATTAAATGCACCTAAAAGAGCATCTGGTTGCTCAAGAGCTGTCCTGAAAAACAAGGCTGGGAGTGCCGGGTACCAAGAGGATCTCCCTTGCTGTGATCTCAGGAGCAAAGCCAGGACTACCAGGGACAGCTGTCCTAACCTCTTGTTATTATAAATTGAACATCTTAGTGTTCCCCACAAATAAAAAAAAAATGGGTGCCTCTCAGTGCGTTTTACAAAATGAAAATAAGACTTTGGGGGTTTGTTTTCCAGATCAAGAAATTATTCTGCATAAAAATTAGGACATATGTCAAGGGGGGTGGTGGTAAGCAATTTGATAGAATCTAATGTAATCATCTCAAACTAACAGCTTCATGCCAGCTCCTAAGGATGTGGTAAAGCAAATAAATAGGCACTATTTATTTGAGTTGAGCATGGAGACACTGAATTGAGATGATGAGTTCGAGGCCAGCTTGGGCTACATAATGAGGCTCTAGTTCTAAAAAAGTCCTGTAGTCTTGCACCGTGATTATATTAAGGCAGTTCCCAATGCCAGCTTAGATTCTTTTCCACCTTATTTTCCTCATGCTGGTTAATGGTATTATGTACATGTAGAAATAATATTATGTGGCTCGTTTTGTGCATAGTAAATTTTTCTCTGAATTTATACTTCAGAATTAAAAATAATTACCTTGCATGGAGATATTTTCACTGCCGAAAAGGCAAGTATAGGTACTTGACAAAATGTAGGCAATAAAAACTACTCCCTATGAAAGTCATCATCAACATGATTGGATTTTTATCGGAATATGTATGGTACATTTTGCAGGAGGTATCTCCTACTGCTCTCAAGAGCAAAGCTCTCCCTAGTTGTACTGGTAAGTGTCTGTCAACTTGAGTCACCTGGAAGGAATGGGACCTCAGCTGCCGAATGGCCTCCATCAGATTGGCCTGTGTTAGAGAGCTATACTGCAACCTGATTTTTCCCACAGTTCTTAGTAATCTCTGGGGAACTTCGTATTGCTCGTCCTGTTGGTTGTCACAGCTGTGGTTCTGTGTTGCAGGTTGACTATGCCAGCATTGTCTCACAAGCTGGAGTCACACTCTCCAACCTCGTGAGTCATTCACAGGACCTAGTGCTGAGGTTCCGTTCCCTACAGATTGATCACCGAGAGTTTGTGTGTCTGAAGTTCCTAGTGCTGTTCAGCTTAGGTAAGTGAAGTGTTTTGTTTTGCTTTTCATAGTCCATTCAACCAGACATTGTTTTCAAATACCCAGCACCGGGTGTCTTGATGCTACAAAGATAATGACTTCCATAGTGAAATCTTTAGAGATGGCCATGCTTTCAGATGTATTCCTACACAATTCTTAGCCCTTGAGCAGATGGGTTGGGGTGTAGAACAGGAGTTGTTCTGTTGGAGTGCTACGATTTCCTCCCTGATGGGCAGGTGATGGAGCAGTGGACAGATAGCAATGACAGGAAGGCTCAGTGGAGACATAGGAAGAGAGCCACTTTACCAAGTTGGAGTCATCTTTCTGCCATTTATATATGAACGTGTTTTTTTGTTGTTGTTTTGTTTTCTGTTCTGCCTTCTAACTTCTGATGCTTCTAGCCTTCTAAAATGGGGGTAACAATTAAAAGCCTGCTTTTTACATTTCTATCAGGAGTAGCTGGAGAAAGTTTATAACAAGATGCGCCACTCTGCACAGATAACGGATAGTGGTTGTCAAGGGGAAGGATGCTTCTTTAGCATGGGTTTGGAGTAGAAAGATAACTAAGCAAGATAGATTAGCTAAATCAAGGTTCTCAGTGAGCCAGTTGAGAAAAATCACCCCTGCTTGGAATAAAAAAAGGATTAAGGAGATGGATTTTTATTGACTTCAAAGGAACAGATTTTTCTGCCTGTCCCTTACTTGATTTCTGAATTTTCTTGGCTTAACAAAGCCGACTTAAATAAACTTTTTGCCGAGTCCATTCATCCCTCATTGGCGAAGGCTGAGGGAGGCAACTTCCCTTGAACGAAAATAATGGCAGAAGTCAGATTTACCAACACATGTTGTTTCTTTAGTCTTCAGTTAGAAGATAGTTGTGAATTCATATCTGAAGAAATAAAACAATAAAACAAACTACAAAGTGAAACAGATGTGTCTGCCCTCCAAATTGGGCCTCTTGGTTTCAGAATCCTTCCTGACAGCACCATACAACTGTTGTTAATAAAGGGGTGGCTGGAAGTCTCAGGACCAGACTTAATTTTTCTCATGTAGCCAAACGCCGAAAATAAAAAAAGCATTTTCGCATTTTGGAAAGTGTGGTGAATACAGCAAAAAGAGATGTCAGTGTAAATGTAAAAAGACAACAGTGTTTAAAAAAAAAAAAAGGAGTGTTCAAAGGTTTGCCATGCCCTACGTGGTTTCTCTATTAACCACAACAAACAGGGAAGTTCTATTCAAGGAAGTCTGTGCCTATTATGCAAGAGCAGTACATGGGTCACCAAACATAAGATAACCCAGGCCTGCTTGCTGTGACCTCACAGATTCTGTTTATGGCAAGATGTTGGTGTTTCCAGCTGGTGGGAAATATGGGTGTCTGTGAGTGTTTTGCAGCTTCTTCCTGGCAGGACACTAAGATCCCAGCTCAGAGGCATACTTTTGAAGGAGGAGAACTGTGTGTGAAGATGTATGTGGTGCACAGCTTTAATTCCAGCACCTTGGGAAGCAGAGGCAGGCCCATCTCTGTGAGTTCAAGGCCAGCCATGGCTACATAGAGAGAGAGAGAGAAAAAAAAAAAACCAACCCTATCTTGAATAAACAAAAACAAAGCAAAAATGAGTAAGTCATGCAAACTAAGGAAACCTTTTTTACATTTATTTATTTATCTTATGTATGTAAGTGTTTTGCCTACGTGTGTATATTTGCATCGTGTGTGGCCAATGCCCAGGGAGGTCAGGATAGGGCATCCAATCCTCTGGAACTGGAGTTGCAGCTGACTGTGAGCTGTTTTGTGTGTGTGCAGGGATTGAGTCCTGGTCCACTGAAAGAGAAACAAGTGCTTTTAACCACCGAGCCGCCTCCCCTGCCCTCGTGCGCATTATTTTTCTGTTTTTTTTTTTTTTTTTTGTTTTTTTTGTTTTTTTTTTGGTTTTTCGAGACAGGGTTTCTCTGTGGCTTTGGAGGCTGTCCTGGAACTCACTCTGTAGACCAGGCTGGCCTCGAACTCACAGAGATCCGCCTGCCTCTGCCTCCCGAGTGCTGGGATTAAAGGCGTGCGCCACCAACGCCCGGCTACTTTTCTGTTTTTTAATCTTGCCTTCATTGTTCTCCCAACTATATTCGCTGCCAGTCCCAAGGAGACAGGTGGGTCAGCACCACCTTCGACCTTTGACCTTGAGAGTGATCTTCTGGATGAAGACCGTATTTGTCAGAGCCCCACCACATGCTTCCTCCTTCAATGGCTTCTAGAGAAGCCCACAGCACCGGGGAAGAGCCAGCCTAAGCTATCTGCTAAAACTTGTCTACTCACTACCTGAGGAAGAAGGGAAATAAGGCCTTTTGATCACTGGTATAATACAGTTAGGTCAAGGGTTCGTGTGTAAAGAAGTAGTAAAAATATAATTAGCAGTATAACTCAGGTGGTTTCCAATTTATGAGTGGTAAACTTCTTCATTAATTTTCCCCATGGAAACAATAGATAATCAATCTTTTTTTTTTTTCAACTCTATTGAGTTACGTAGCTAATGAACTTTAGATCCCAAAGTAACTGTTTCTTCTCTAACTGAGGAGGAAGTCATACAGGGCCATTTTGAAACACCAGTCTGTTGCCTAGGCCAGGCGCTTGTTCCTCAAACTCTTCATCCTTGAGTCTGAACCAAACACATCCGGATCCGAGAGCTTCCCGGCCTTGCCCCTCATTCATCCTGACAAACTGAGGCTGTGACATAGAGTAGACGAAGGCCAGAGGCTGTGCTGAAAGGTGATTGCATCGTCCTCTTCCACATGAGGGAGATGACATTGCCCTTCCCCGGTTCATGCAGCCAGAGAAGATGGAGTGTGAGCTCGAGCAGGTACAGCATTTTGAGTTGAAAGAGCAGCCAGTGCTGAAGTTCAAAGGCAAGATGAGTTGAAGGAACAGGGAGCGGGTGAAGTAGGAGGCAGGCTGGAAAGTAGGTGGGCAGCCTGGCCTTAGAAGGACAGGACCGACCTTGGTCCATCCAACAACTCCAAGGTAGCACTGGGGAATAGAGGGGGAATGGGCTGGCCAGCCCGTGTTCTTGTGACTTTATGGCTACAGCATGGAAAGAAGTGGTTTTCATATCTCATGGAGGTTTGAAGGGGGAGAAGAGACACGAAACAAGGAGAGGGTCTCAGGGCTGTGACAGAGTTGGAAAGCAGAGGTCCATGAGGACCTCATGCCTGGTACTTAGCCAGGAAAGTCTGCAGGGACAGTAGTTGACAAGGTTAGTCATGGCAGGTTCCCCAAACAGCTACCCTCCCTCCCCCCCACTAGTCACTCACTAAATGGCAGGACTAAAATAAAAAGCACTTGACTTTTCAGGACTACTATATGAATTCACAAGGGGACACAGTTGGTTTAACTGATCAAGAAAGGAAGTAAAAATGAAAAATCCCTAATCTCTGTCTTTTGTATGTGGCCTATGCTAGACTATACAGATCAATCTCTGCAGGATGTTATATGTTGCTTCTACTAAACTGGGGCTAGGGGGGTGCATTTTGGTTGTAGAGCACTTGCCCAGCATGCACAAGGCCCTGAGGTTGGATCCCAAGCACTAGGTATGGTAAAAATCCACCTGTGATCTTAGCACAAGGAAGACAAAGTCAGCAGTTCAAGGTCATTCTCAATTACACACCAAAGTCAGCCTGGGATATATAAGACCTAGTCTCAAAATACATATCTGCTAAGTTACCAAGTTATCATGTTTTGTTGCCAAATAATGTAATTTGTGCCCATTGGTATTCTGATAGAAAAGAGATGCTATGAGTTCTCTAGTTGTTTTAGTGTTTATTTAACTGGTTTAAACGCCAGTTCTGTCTTACAAGGAGCTAAATTCACTGATAAAACTTACTATCATCCATCAGTGCAGAAGTAAATGTTACAGAGGAAGAGTGTAGCTCCAGCATCCTCACTGTCATTACCAATACAGCTCACAAACTGTAGCACGATGACGCAGGCAGAAGTGGAGAGTGCTTTGGTTGGTTGTCTGTTAAGAAACTTGAGTAATGCCATCCATGTTTGAGTCTAAGAGGAATATTAATGTGGCTTAAGCTCTCAGTGCAGCAAGTCACTGGAATGTCCCAGCTACGATGCTACTTGGGGAGAGATTTTTCTTAGCCTGGAGACTGGATGGCGTGACACTACCAAGCCTTTGTTGTTTCCCAGGTGAAAAATGAAAGACCTAGAAGCCTATTATATTTCATCTCCCTGAGTGAGTACCCCTGCTTTCTTGTAAACTGCCGCCTTCTCTGATCAGACGCTAGTTCTCGAAGTCCTTGTGATATTTATCTCTTGTTAACAGTTGCTTCCCTTGAGGGGAAATAGCTAGATCTAAGCGGTGGCTAAGGTAACTCTTGCCTCAAGTCTCAGTATAGGGTAGCCTTCAGAAACAGACTCGGCTTTTCAGATGCTTTCTTACAGTAAAATCCGGCTTTGTAAGTGGAGCCTTCATTGACGTTAAAATTCTTCGCTATGTTTTCTTTACAGATAGGCTTCAAGCCCATCACCAAGTACACAGTAGGGAATCCTACAAAATGTTTATTGATAAAATACAGAAACAAATAGACATAGTTTGTTTTAAACCCAAAGCCTTTGCCAAAGTAAGTGTAACAAGCAATAGTTTAGCTGAGAAGTTGTGTATCACACAAACCTCTCTTGAAAATTCAACTCTTCTATCATTTTCCAGTCTCTGATTTTATGAGAGGATATTGTATTGATCAGCTCTTTGGGGGTAGCTAACTTTCAGAAAGATTGGAAGGAATATTCACGACTAAAATCTGGTAGTATGTGGACATCTGTTTCAAGTAGCGACTTTCAGGCCAGGATAGGAAATGGTAGGGAAGGAATCTCTTGTGGTTCCTCCGTGGTGTTGAAGGAATCTTCCATCCAGTAAAACAGATGAGAACATCCTGTCTTTACTAATCCATTCTAGCTCTTTGCTTTATCCAAAATTTCCAGTGTTGACTATGGTACCTGATTATAC